CTCCCTTCCTCATCCCCCGTCTTCTGTTTCTGTCTCTTTCTTTTTGAGACAGGGGTGGTCGAGTAGGTGTAATGAAATCCAGCTCTACAGGTGGTGGGAGTCGATGCAGAAGCCCTGCTGCTCAGCCGGAGAGGTGGATACCCTGTAGCCAGCCCAAGGAGCCAAGCCTGGCTTATTCCAGGTTTCAGAGTAGTAGGCTAGCTTTCGGGCTGCGGTACAGAAGAATCAGTTCCCCTGAAGTTGTCCCCATCAGAGTGGAGCTGGGGAAGCTAAAGAGTGGCTAAGGGGCTCTGAACAGTGGCTAATCTCACTTCAGAGAGAAAAGATAACAGGAATCCATTCTCAGCAATAAGCTCCAGTGACTGAGCCGTAGGGTCTGACCCATGTTTTCTGGAACCCTACCCAGAGCCACTGGCTCTTACCTTGTGAGGTTCGTGTTTCCCTCCTGGGGCGTTACCTCTTCTTTCCCCCCTTGTCTATCTTCCTGCTCCCTTCTGGCTTTCGGAACTCCCAAGCCCCACCCCAAACCTTCCATGCCCCTCTGTCATAACTGCCATAACATGGGGGGGGTGTGCAACACCTTGGTCTCCTTTGTGTATGAGGCATTTTGAATGCGTACTGGGTGCTAAGGATGTGGGAAGAATAACACAGTCCCTGTTCTCAAGGAGATGGACCAACAAACAGTGGACAGTGCTCCCGGACAAGCGCTGTTGCTTCCGCGAGTGCTTTCCCAGAAGGACACGGGATGGGTGTACACAGGAAGCGCCTAATTCTGGCTGGGTGGGGCGGAGAGCACTATTCTAGGGGAGCAGCAGATGCGGGGCCTGAGACTGAGGGATAAGTCTAGGTTTTTAAATAGTCTAGTCATTCAGCCAGCCGTCATTCTCGGTCTTCATCCAAACAGCTGTGACTTAGACACACATTCGTCAAACAGGAGCCAACATTCCTAAACTAACCGAGTTTTGACATATGTATAACCCTCCGTTTTCCCTCTGCGTGTCAGTGACCCAGTAGGGGAAAAGCTTCCCCTCTGGGGCCCCTTAATCCCAGGGAGTGACTGAGGTGGAGGTGAGTGGGGAACTGGAGCAGGGAGGTGGTCAGGGCATCACTAACAAGGCTCCTCACTCCTGTCTGTGGAATGAGGGTTGGATGCTTTGCAGTCTCCAAGATTTATTCCTGGTGATTAAGCCAAGGTTTTCAAAATAGCCCAGTCCCTTCCCTCCCCCATCCGTCTCCAAGGCCAGAGCTCATGAGGAAGAGGAGCGTGGACTTAAAAGGCAGGCCTCTCCCTACCCAGCCATTGATCTGTCCTCCCTCTCGCCAGATCTTGCCAGATCAATGGTAGGAGCAATTTGTGAGTGACAGCTCACAGAGATAGCATGTTACATTTAAACCATTTGGGGTTTGAAGCCTTTTAAGTCCATCAAAACAATGCCATACCCTGCTGTGTCTCTGGCATCATAACAGGCCGAGCAGGGCGAATCGTGACTCAACTTCCACGTGACCGTGTGACTGTGTGAGGATTAAAGGAAAGAATTCTTTTTTCTTTTTTTTTTTCTTTAATTCCTAGCAAATACAGACACCTTTTAGTCCAGTTTTCCCTCTGATTCAATGCCACGCACCAGTAAATCTGGAACTAAGAAGGGCCCGGTTTATCTTGAAGTATTAAGGGCTTAGTGAAGCAAAGAAACTTCACTCCCAGGGTCTGGAGGAAGTTACATATCCTGTTACCTCTATGAAGGTGAGGACCATACTTGCTCTATCCCTGGTGCATTCCCTGGCTTTGCTCAGTGCCTGGTGTGTAGTAGATGCTCAGGAATATTTGGTGAGGCAATCAATGTTTTTAACACCATCTCTACAGCCCACCCCTGTCCCACGCAAGCTTTCTCTCCATTACTTCATTCCAGGTAGTGTTGTCATTCATGCCACCTCCTTGGGTGTCTACTTCAGATGATCCATTCTCATTGCATCCCTGAGTAGATTTCAGTCTTGCAGCTGAAACCATTCACTTGTCGACCTATGGAGGGCCTATTTGGGCCAAGCTCCCAATTAGTGGCAGGAATGCAAAGACAAGAGACATACGCAAGATGCCCTTGAAGAGATGCCAGTTTAGGAGAGGAGGCAGGGTTACGGACATCTAAAATCAAGGGCATGAGCCTGGGTAGAGATGAGTAAAGATGGAAACCGGAAAAAGGACAAGTTCTCAAGGCAGCCCCATCAGAGAGTTCTGGAAAGTGAGAAGTGTCTAGTTTTGGGGGTTTGGACGTTAAGGGTGTGGAACAGTGAAAGAACTCTAAAAGGAGTGGCTTTGGAGTTGGGTATGTGTGTTGCCTGAAAACAGGCTGGTAGGGCCAGGATCCCTCCCCATTCACCCAACCAGAGGGGTCGTACCCAAGCTCAGCTTTCCACAGGACCATGGCTTATCCTCGTTTGATAGGAAGGATTCTAACTCTCTATGGACCCCTAGCTTCAAGTGTGGGGCAGCTGGTGTCCCCCAAACTATTCCTGTAAGTGACTGGCATCCCAAGATTGGACTAATGGCACCAAGGAGCCTGTGTGTTCCTCTGTCAAGGTTGTTTTATCACTTTTGCCCTATAAATGAGAGAAGAGCAGGGCTAGTGAGTCCCTGGTAGAAATCAGATTCTCACTGTGGGCCCAGCAGTGGCTTCTTTCTGCAGGGTATGGGAGCAGCGGCTTTGTAAGTTTCCCTTCCCCCAGTAACACCTATTCCTTAACTTGTGCAATTCAACCCAAGCCCTGATGCATGACAAAAAGACCAGGAAGAGGTCCACGTGACATGGACATGGGGACATGCAGAAATCAGCAGAAAGGGCATCCCAGAGTGAGCAGGGCACACACTGGAAGAAATTGGGGGATACAATGAAGGGGTGACAGTGTGCGTGGGTCCTGGGAAATGGCCTGCAGGGATGGCTAGAGTCTTGTCATGCAGGGCCTTTGTGATAGACAGCTGCTGGTTCGGCCTGCCTGCCTTCTTCCCTTGTTTCTGGTAGCAGTATATTGATATTTCGTGGGGGAAACCTGCTTCCCCATACATAGCATGCAGTCTTGTGGACCTGTCGGTCCCAGCCACACACTGGCCAGGAGGGAGGGGATCTACACCATCAGCATCTCTCAGGGATTTAAATCCTGAGCAGAATGACACAGCGACAGAAAACCACAGCACCCACTCACCAGATGTAGTCCTGAGGGAGGGAGTCTGTTTCTGCCCTGCACCTGGGAGCCGCCTCTGCTGGCCCTGCCCAAGGCCCCAGCTTTTCCTTTGCTTCTGTCCACCCCACAGCCTCCCATTAAACCCTCCTTGGGCCTGAGTTAGACTGAGTCAGTCTGGTGGCTTGCAAACAAAGAAAGTTAACACAGCGATTTTCAACCTTTTTCATCTCATGGCACACATAAACTAATTACTAAAGTCCTGCGGGACACAGGATATATTTTTTGCTGATCTGAAAAAAAAAAAAAAAAAAAAAGGTATAACTTTGATTCATTCACATGGAACAGCTATTGTTGTGTTGGCTGTTGTCTTTTTTTTGACAATCTAAGGCAAAAGAGGTCAGTGCCCCTGTCTAAATAGTCAGATACTGCATCAGTGCCCCTGTCTAAATAGTCAGATACTGCATGTTTTAAAATTTTTTGTGGCCCTGACTAGGTGGCTCAGTTGGTTGGAGTGTCGTCCTGCGCACCAATAAGGTGGTGAGTTCAATTCCTGGTCAGGGCACATAACTAGGTTGCGGGTTTGATCCCCGCAACCTATCTCTCTCTCTCCCTGTCCTCCCTCTCTAAAATCAATAAACATACCCCCAGGTAAGGATTTAAAAAAAATTCTTGTGGCACACCAGTGTGCCACCACACACCCTTTGAAAATTGCTGCCTTAACAGGTGGCCTTGAGCACCAGGCTGATGTAAAAGAATGCCAGCCCAGGGCACAAATAACATTAAGATCCATGCCTTCTTTCTGTACGGTGCTGGGCAGTTCCCTCACATCTTCCCTTAAAGTGGCACAGTTGGGGCATTTTACCTACTCTAGAGATACTGGAAGTTGAGATTCAGAGAATTGGGGACCTCCCAGCCTACCTCTGTGAACTCAGTCTCCCGTTGGGGATGTTCAATTAGAGAGAGGTGTGTTGGTGATCAACTCCAAGCCACCTCTGAAGCCTGATAAAGAAAGTAAAATTCTGTGTGCACGATGGGTGTATGTATGCTGAAGTGTCCCTGGATGGTATTCCAAGAAGCCATGACATTTATTCGACGGTGTCATTTGCAGGCATTGCTCTTATTGATAAAATTGAAACCCACCGCATCCTCCAGAGCCTGGTGACAACCGTCCTTCCTGGAGCTCTACCTGGGATCAGGCTTCCCTGGCTCTGTCCTCTGCTTTTCTGAGTAGGGCCCTGGACATGGAGAGATATGTAGTGTGGCACTGGGAGGAGGCCCTCCCAAGCAGAAGCCCTTCATCTTCAGGCTCCCCTCCTATAGGCAACAAGCTGTACACACATGCCCATCCCCTCCCCAGGTCTTACTTCCCTGGGTAGAAAGAAGGAATAAAACACAGGAGATGTCAATTCCAAACTCTTGAGGGAGACTCTGGGCCTCTAGCCATTTGGTTGTTGGGGCTTTAACCCCTTGATGATCTGCATCATCAGCCGCAGGCCACCTTGTTCTTTGGCCATCAAGCCTAGTTGTCTTCAAGCCCCGTTTTCATCTTACCAAGCATGCTTTCTGTGCGATGCATACTGGGTAAGGAAATTAAATCTAAATCCAGGCGAGGGAAGACAACTTAGGTCTCTTGCTATTAAACATGTGGCCTGATTAATGAGGAATTTCTTATCCTAGAATCTCAGAGCCAGAAGCAATTTTAAAGGTCATCTATTTCAAACCGTCATCTAATCCCCTCAAATTAAAAAACATATATACATAGATATGTGCATACTGAATGCTTCCGGGCACTGTGCTAAGTATTTTACATGCATTTCTCTCGTTAATAGGCTTTGGAGCCTCACAACAACCCTCTGCATCAGCCGCTGTTATTATCTCCACTGTCCAGACCAGGAACCTGAAGCCAGAGGTTTCTGTCGTTCACTGCAGGTCACGAAGAGAGTAAGTAGCAGAACCTTTTCAGAGATGGCGGCCTGGCAGCAGCTTGGCCAAACCTTATGTGTGCATGCTTTAAATTTTTCAATATATTGTTAGTAATTTAAGATTGGGAGTTTGACATGAAAAATAGCTGGATTTCGCGCTGGCTGGTGTGGCTCGATTGAGCACTGTCCCATGCACCAAAAGGTCACCAATTCTCCCCTAGAACCTCCAGGAGGAAAGCAGCCCCCAGACACCTTGACCTTAGCTCAGTGACACTGATTTTGAACTTCTCACCTCCATAACTATAAGAATATATTTCTGTTGTTTTCAGCCTCTAAGCTGATGTTGATTTGTTACAGCAGCAGTAGGAAACTAATACAGCCACTATTCTAAAATACTCCCTTCCCCCTCATGAGTATCCAACTTAGTCTTTTATTAGTATCCTTCCAGGCACTTATCACAACTTGAAATTACTTTGACTGCTAGCTTAGTTTTGGCTCCTTTGACTGCTAGACTGGAAGTCCCAAAAGGACAGTGTTCAGCACTTTGTAGAAGCTTGGCAGATATTTATTGAAAGGCTAAATTTGTTATTGAATAATTGACCTCATTATCCAGCCCAGGCGCCTTCATCTGAGCACATTGGAGGTTGAAAATGTCCCTACTTAATGGTGGAACTTAGAATCGAATTCATCCAGGTGCAAGTATTACTCTGAAGTACATGAAACAACCAGAACTTTTAAAGAAATTGGGCAGCAAGGCCAGTGACACAACAGACAATGCACCCGAGATACTTTCATTTCTTGTTTCCTACATCCTTGCTACTCTCAGCACTATCTAGGAGCTTGTTAGAAATGCAGATTACCAGGCCTTGCCCCAGACTACTGAATTAGAATCTGCATCTAGCAAGATGTCCAAGAAATCTATATGCATATTAAAGTCTCAGAAGGGCTGCACTATGTATATGGTTGGGGGGACGGGGCAGGACATGCTTCTGGAAGAGATAGTACAGGTATGTTTGCCACCAGCAGGTGCAATAAGCATTTGCTACCCCTTTGCTGCCACATTCCATCACCTGCTCCCTATGTTGAATTCTCTGACTCTGCTGAGGATGCTGCTTAGTCCCATCTCTCCACCCAAGTCTGTGTAGTCAGGCAAACAGATGATGAGTTTTTAAGCACCCACAAGCCCAATGAGAACCAGGCCTAATCAGTGGAAGAAGTCCCTTCCTGCCAGTGGTGGTGGTGGTGTCTGGCTTTGCTGAATGGTTCCCTGCATGATCCTTCCAGGGAGTTGAAGCTAGAAACTACTGAGGGCATCTAGGCAGCTGTGTCTGGAGTTGGAGACGGTAAAAAGATCAGTATTTGCCAAGAGTTAGGGGAAGGGATGAATAGCTGGAGCACAGGGTATTTTTTAAGGCAGTGAAACTATCCTGTTTGATACTGTAATGGTAGATATGTGTCATTATACATTTGTTAAAACCTATAGAATGTACAACACCAAGAGCGGACCCTAATGTAAACTGTGGACTATGGTTAATAACAATGCATCAATTACTGGCTCATCAAATGCGCCAAACTAATGCAAGATGTTAATAATAGGGGAAACTGTTGGGGGAGGGAGTGGAAATAGCTGTTACATGGGAACTCTCTGTACTTTTCACTCAGTTTTTCTATTAACCTAAAACTACTCAAAAAAATAAAGGTTATTACTAGTAATAATAAGAGAGAGGAACATGTAGATCACTTTGGTTTAAATCTGGCACAGGTACTTAAAAATTAGGAGGCCTTAGGCAGGTTACTTAATCTCTTAGCCTCAGCTTACTATGAGGCTGTTAATATCCACCTCGTAGGACTGTTGTGACAAACAAGTTAAAGCATGAAGCGCCTAGTGTGTTCCTGGCATAATGTAGAAAGCACTTGATAAGCATTAGGCTTGGAGTATGGGGCAGGGATGTTGTCTTCTGTAAACATTCAAAAAGCCATTGAAATTTTTTCCCTAAAGAATAGTTTATTGGTGTGTTTTTTTTAGAGATAAAGGGAGGGAGAGGGAGAGAGAGAGAAACATCGATGTGAAAGTACAACATCGATCGGCTGCCTCCTGCATGCCCCCACCAGGGATTGAGCCCACAACTTAGGCATTTGCCCTTGACTGGGAATTGAACCTGCAGCCTGCAACCTCCTGGTGCACAGGATGAGGCCCAACCAACTGAGCTACACCAGCCAGGGCAAGCCATTGAAATTTTACATGCTGGGAAACTGCTGCTCATAATTACCCTTCAATCGTCTTCAAATGGCAACTCCTTGCAGAATGGATTGTCATACAGAGAAGTTAGAGGCAGGAAGATAAGTTAGGACATTATTCCAAGAAGATGTAACAGTAGAGATAGAGGAGAGGTAATGATGGAGGAGGTGCTAATCAGTGGGGAGTGTGGAGAGGGCCCATGGGAGGGTAGCGGGTGCCTTGCATAAAGACTGGAAATGTGAGGGTGGAGGGAGCCATCCCTGGAATATTAAACAGGTCAAAGAACTGTCTGGATTACTGAAATTGTTTGCCTCTTCCCCTGGTTGAGGGTAGTCCCCATGTCCAACTGCCATCAGAGAATCTTACATCATTTCTGCTCCAAAGCAGAAAGTGGTTTTTTACACAGAAATTTACCTGCCAGCTACACTGAAGCCTTGACATTTTAAGTGGTACCTGCCCTTTTGTGTCAGACGTGCCCCACAAATAAGAAACTGACAAGCTCCCCTAATGGGCATTCAGTGTTCAATGAAATGAGAACCCTGCTATGGGTGGGGAAATCTGGTGTCTGCAGAAGACAAAGGGGGCATCAGCGAAAAATATATTTTGAGCAGTTATCTTGAGGCCCTCCCTCCCACTGTTCCCATGCTCAGCCAAGCAAGGTCTTCAGGAGGAAGGCTGAGCAAATGGGTGCCTCCTCCCCGCCTCCTGCTGAGTCACCATGGTAAATTGCAGCAGGCAAATACAGCTACCTTGCAATTAGTAAGACCAAGCCCCAGTGAGCACAGATGCTGGCCTCCTAGATTTGAAAATAAGTGAAAAAGCATGTTGGCCTCATGCTCTCATAGGAGAAAGAACTGTGATGATCACATGGACCCATCTTGCCACCCCATGATGGAATCTCTTCTAAGGTGACTTCATTGTCATGTGCTTCCCTAGCTATGACTCAGGTTTACTTCCAATGACAGGGAGCTTACCCCTAAGCCAAGACTACCTAGTTAATTGGAGGCCTTAGAGTAAACCTACTAGTTCAGCTGGGAAATTCAAGGCCTGGATGAGAGGAGTGGCTTGCTCTAAGTAACCTACTAAGTTGGAGACTGACCTTCCTGGGTCTTCTAGACTTCAGTCTGGAGCACATTCACGAGGCATAACAAGGTGGTTAAAAAAGTTGTTCTGGGGTCAAAACCCAGCCCTTGCCTCCAGTCAAACCATTTTTCTTTTTAAGGTCCAATTTCCTTGGCTAAAAAAAAAAAATAGGTACAAGAATAGTACCTAACTTACTGAGTTATTGTAAAGAGTAAATGAGAAAATGAATGCCTAGTACTTGGCACTGTGCCTGGCATATAGCAATATACAGTGATTTTAGCGACTAAATATAATTAATACTGACTCTTCCAGTATTTACCTACAAGCCCAGTTGAACATTAGAGGATCATATATACCATCCTGACTCTTGACTGCTCATAATTTGCTTCCATGGGGATCTTAGGATCTCAGAGAAAGGCAAGATAGCTATGGACTTCCAAAAAGACATGTTGACAGGAAGTGACTCGGGGTGGCCAGGGACATCCCCTCTCTACCAACCTGTGCAGCCCTGCCCACCAACCACCCATCTTCCTGATTGAAAAATACGGCCTTTGAACTGGGCCAAGACCTCTCCTCTGAGATGTCTTGAATACCACTCATCAGCACCTTGGACAGCGTACAAATGATTTCCAGGGAGGTGTCCATTCCCTGACAATGCCAGGTGTGTGGCATCTGTGATATTTGGGGAGAAGAGATACAGCAATCGCCTCCCTGAGACAAATTCCAAGGGAAGTTGTACAGGCAAGGAACAAGGCAAGCAAACCAGGAATACAACCTTCCAGATGTGTGGCTCTTCCTCCACCTCCCACAGAAAGCCCACCACTTATTAAAAGTTAGAAATAGAAAAATAAATAAAGTTGGCACCTATTCCCAAAGAGAGTGCTCAGAACAAAGTAGGCCCATTTCACGGGGCTGACTGGTTCGCCAGCTCCCGCTCTGCAGCATTGTTACAATTACAGCTATTCTTGGGGATGTAATTCATTATGAAGCCATCATTCCCAAAAAGCAGAGAAGAGCAAAAATAAAAGGTTTGTCATCTGGCTGTGGTGCATAGAACACAGCAGGCTGCCTGCTGGGCACATCCCGGGTGGCAAACAGAAAGCTCAGGGACAGACACACATTCCACTGAGCTCCTCTATTCACCTGGATAAAACGATCCTATTTGCATCAAGGAAAGAAGGCTGCTGGCCTCTCTGTTTGCCTTCTGGGCAATTTCCAGTCAGCTGGCCAACGGAGGAGGAGTTGCTGCCTGGAAAAGAGAGGGGGTGGCAACACTCCCAGAGCTCAGAGGAGGAAGGACAGTTACCAGTTGTGAGCCCCCACTATGTGCCAGCACTGTGCTGGACACCTTAAGTGAATGGGAGAGGTATTATTAAACCCCATTTAGCAGACGACAAACCTGAAGCTGAGAGAGGTTGTTTCAGACTTTTTCAGTGACAGAGTCCCAATTCTGACCGTCTTAAGTGAGAAAGGAAAAATGCTGGCTCAGGTATAGATGTCAGGTATAGCTGGCGAGGACTCAAAGATGCCATGACTATCCATCTCTTGCCTTGGCTTTCTTTTGTAATGCCATCACCCCCTGCCAGGCTTTTTCTCTCGATTGTAAGATGGAGACCACAAACTCCTGGCTTCACCCTTCCAGCCTACCAACCCCAAAAGAGAGAGAGCTTCTCTTCCTTACTAGTTCCAGCAAAAGT